GGGAATGGAAAATTACTATTTAATGGTTTCCATTTAGGCACATGAAAAAGATATGAAAATGGACATTGGTGCTGATCACACAATATGAATGTACTTATATTTAATGCTACTAAACTGTACTTATAAAATGATTGAAATACAGAATTTTATATTTGTGTGTGTGTGTGTGTGCATGTGTGTGTGTTTTACTGGGAATTCAAACCAAGGTCTGGGGTTCAGGATGTGGCTCAAGTGGTAGTGCGCTCACCTGGCATGCATGAGGCCCTGAGTTCAATCCTCAGCACCACATAAAAATAAAATATTGTGTCTATCTAAAACTAAAAAATAAAAATAAATAAAACCAAGGCCTCACCCATGTTAAGGAAGCACTCTACCACTAAGCTCCATCTCTAGCCTTTTTTGTTCTTATTTCAGACAGGGTCTCACTAAGTTGTCAACACTGGCCTGGAACTTGGAATCCTCCTGCCACAGCCTCCTAAGTAGCCAGGATCGTAAGCATGCCCCACCACACCCAGCCATAATTTTTTTTCCCCCAAACTGCATACAGCACTATTTCTAACAACCCCAAAATGGAACATAATCATCTGTGACAGTAGAATATATTAATTGTTATATATTCATCCAATTGAACTATATAGCAATGAGAATGTACTATTGCTACACTAAACACAGGAATGAATCTTATATACTGCTTAACAAAATAGTGAAATAATTCGAGTATGAATATTATTATGAATCTATTTGAAAAATTCAAAAATAAGCAAAACAAACCCATAGTAGTAATATCTATAGGCAGAAGAAAGGGTTATAACTAGGAACAGGGAATGGGGAGGGATTTGGGAGCATGGTAATATTCAAGTTTTTGACCTAGATGGGGGTTATAGAAGTGTTCACTTTGTAAAAATTCACCAAGAAATTCACATTTCTTTTATGTACTTTTGCATGTGTCATAATTCAATTTAAGAGTTTTTTTTTTTTTTTGGTACCAGGGATTGAACTCAGGGGTACTTAACCACTGAGCCACTGCTGCAGTCTGGCTGGGCACAATTCACAAGCCACTTATCAAGCAGAAACGAACTTTACTTTTAGAACACACACACCGCACCACACGAGCTCTTCAGGAATTCCCTCAGAGCCCAACTGCCACCACCGGCTTCCCATAAGCCTCTCAACCCCCACTCCTCCTGCTCTTGAGGCCAATTGGCTGGGTCACATGGGCGGAGCCAAAAGAGTCCCCTAATGAGCAGCTCCATATATCATATATGACGAGTGCTCATGAAAAAATGGATCCAAATATTTTTTTTATTCACGTGATTTAAATGATTTAATCAGCTGTTGAGGATTGTTTTAATATGTGAACAAAAAAGGAGGTTAACAGATCTGTTTGTTTACTTTCACCTTTCCTTTTCATTATATTTGATAATTCTGTTCAGGATGATGTAAATTGTTCAGAAAATTGTTTTCTTTTAGTGCCTGCTGGAATGTTACATAATTTTTTCTTTAGCCATTATTGCCAGAATTCCTATCTTCATCCCAGTGCCGGTGAAGACAAAGATAAAACCAATCTACAGCTTCTGCAATAGATATCACTGAACTGCTTGCAGAACTTGCCTGGACTGTGTATCACTTGTATGCATTGTGAACTATCTGTTGGTGCTGTGACTTGTGGTAGTGTTGGGGTATTTTTGCTGATGGTGTCATCGGTAGTACAATTTTTCCAAAAGGAGCCGTCAATTTGCTTGGTGTATCCTCCTCCCTTCTGCTTGTGATGGTCATTCAGCTAAAATTTGGGGGCCAACAGAGGTGAGGCAAAGAACCTCACCCCCCGCTGGTACAAAGGCCTATCCACAGGTGTGGCTGTATGCTGGACCGGTAGTCAATGACGGGTAAGATCTAATTGCAATGGTACCAACCTAAGACAGGAGGCTGACGCCTTGAGGTCAGCTCATCAGAGGAAGGGTAAGGACCATATGTAGTATTGGACAACTTAAGGCAGGCACGGTCCCTAAGCCACATGCTTGTTGTTTAAACAGAGAGAGGGAGATGTTGAGAGCCACAGCCGAAGGGGCCCCAGCAAACTTCCAGCTGTTGGCTCACCGTGGCCCCAGCAAACTTCCAGCTCTGTGGTGATGCTCATTGGGCTGTTTCCCCGCCCTTTCAGACCACGGAGCTGCTCATTGGGGGACTCTTTTGGCTCCGCCCACACAACCCAGCCAATAGGCCTCAAGAGCAGGAGGAGTGGGGGGTTAAGAGGCTCATGGGAAGCCGGTGGTGGCAGTTGGGCTCTGAGGGAATTCCTGAAGAGCTTGTGTGGTGCGGTGTGTGTGTTCTAAAAGTAAAGTTCGTTTCTGCTTGATAAGTGGCTGGTGAATTGTGCCCAGCCAGACTGCGGCAAGCCACATCCCCAGCCCTTTGGTATTTTGAGACAGGGTCTCATTAAGTTGCTTAAGCTGGCTTTGAACTTGTGATCCTCCTAACCTCTGCCTTCCAAGTTGCTGGGATTACAAGCCTGTGACACTGCCTAGCAAAAAGTTGGATGTTTTTATTTCTTTATAACTTTATTTGGTACCAATGAGCTACATCTCCAGCCCTTCTTTTTACTTTGAGACAGTATGACAAGTTGCCAAGGCTGGCCTTGAATTTGCAACCTCCTGTTTCAGTCTCTTAAATAGCTGGGATTACAGGCATGTGCCACCATGAATAAGCTTAGTATTTATATTCATCCTAACAAGACAAGAACTTGCTTCCTCCATCTCTTCTACTTTATGTTGACAGTTTGAATTCATTAATTTTGGTTTACTGTAGATGTATTTCCTTCCCCCTCTTCCCCCCACCCCCACATACAATTACCAAGATATTTGACTACTAAATTATCCCCCTAGCTTTCCTAATATCTCTGGACTTGTTTTCTTCTTGAATACTTTTCCCCAAAATTTTAACATGTACTTTTGAGTGGTAAATATTAATGCTTTTATTAAACCCTCACATTTTAAAGACAAATTGCTACAAAATTTCAAGTCCAGTACTTTAAAAATATTACACTCTGCTCCTACTGCTCAGGACTCAGAAGACTCAGGTCAATCTGATTCCTTTCTTTATACATTTACTCTACATAAAAGCTTTAAGATTTTTCTCATTATCTTTGATACTCTTACATTTCAGTATATGTCTATATGTGGATATTTTCTCTTTTCACTCTGGCCCTTTCTATCTCTATTTAAACTTTTTCTAAGTCTCCTTTATTTCCTGAATGTTGGCACATCCGTCTTCCATGTCACTTAAATCATTTTCACATTTCCAAGTTACCTTTTTTAAAAAAACAAAACCAAAATAAAACTTCCTTCTGGGAGTTTTCTAGATTGATTTTTCAACTCAACTTATTCTTCAGTTGTATCTATTTTTATTCCATTCAATTTTTTCTTCATTTTATAAAGAGAAACCAGAGTATGTGGGGTTGTTTTTCACTACGGGAGAATGAACTGAGGAAAGTCTGAGCTATATTCTCAACCCTTTTAATTTTTTTAAAATTTGTTCTAGGGCTGGGGATGTGGCTCAAGCGGTAGCAAGCTCGCCTGGCATGTGTGCGGCCCGGGTTCGATCCTCAGCACCACATACAAACAAAGATGTTGTGTCTGCCGAAAACTAAATAAATAAATAAATATTAAAAAAAAAAATTTGGTCTTGTATTAGGGATTCAATCAGAGGCTCTCTACCTCAACTTTTATTTCCAGGATCCTTCACTTTTTTTTTTAAACAAGGTCTCAATAAGTTGCTGATGCTGCCCTCAAATTTGCAATGTTCCTGCCATCGTCTCCAGAGTAGCAAGACACACACCCCACAGTGTTTTTTTTGTTGTTGTTTTTGTACCAGGGATTGAACCCAGTGGTGCTTACCACTGAGGCATCCCCAGCCCTTTTTTTATATTTTGAGACAGGATCTCGCTGAATTGCTTAGGGTCTCAATCAGTTGCTGAGAACTTGAGATCCTCATGCCTCAGTCTCTCAAGTTGCTGGGATTACAGGCACATGCCACCGTGCCCTGCTAGAATACATGTTCTTGATTTTATTTTTATTTATTATTATTATTATTTTTGGTACTGGGGTTTGAATTCCCAGGGTGCTTTACCACTAAGCCACATCCCCAATCCTTTTAACTTTTTATTTTAAGGCAGGATCTCACTAAGTTGCTTAGCATCTCACTAAATTGCTGAGGCTGGTCTTGATCTTGTAAGCCTCCTGCATTAGTCTCCTGAGCCTCTGGAATTACAGGCATGCACCACTACTCCCAGCTCTTAATTTTAAATGTGTCACTTTTTTCTTATTTTTATGTTACATTGGTAAACATTTTTTTGTTTATTACCTTTGACTTAGATTCTGCAGGTCTTATAAAATCCAATTTGTATTCTTTTGAACCAGTAGCTTCCCTTAGTCATCACTCTGCTTATGAACTCTGTGTGTGTGTGTGTGTTTTGCTGGCGATTGAACCCAGGGCCTGTGCATATGAGGCAACTGAGCTATATCCCCAGCCCCTTATGAACTCTTTTAAGGGATGATAAAGGTGATAGTATGCACTGGAGAAAGACTGATGACCAGCACTCTAATTTATGATGGACGTCCAAAAATGACAATGGGAAAATATGCAGCCTAGAGTCTAGAGCCTAGATTGTAATTCACCAGTCCTGATACTGGAGGGGGAGGGCAAAGAAGTAATTGTTCAAACTAGTCAATCCTTATACCAGTTTTCTCCAGATTTTCACCATTTTTGTGTTCTTAATTTTATCTGTGAGGATACCTGCAGCGAGCTATGGTTCACTGTACCATTATGTGCTGTGAGAAAACAGGCCAAAGCACAGGTTGCCCCTTAATGAACTACTCATACCCATTCAGCCAGCTCACTCCCACCACAGAAGATTTCAAAATAGCTCCCCATGTCCCCTGGGAGTTTTATCTCTTTTTGTTTTAATTATTATCTAAACAATTTAAAGAACATTGTAATCAAAATATACCAGAACTTTACATGGTTTTATTATACATTACTGTTATCGAAAGCAAACTTTATACAAAAAGTTTTATACACATAAAAAATTCCTGGCTAGGCAAGGCCATTTGTGTGTACATACACACCATACACATATAGTATTTTACATCATTATAACTATACATATTTATAAATACACTATTTAAATTATTTTACAATTTACCAAAATGAAGGAAGGCAATTTAAAAAAGAATGAAAACATTAAACTAAATAGTTAAGTTTAAAATGCTACAAAACTTTCTAAAAATCGAGAAGGAAGTCATTTCTTTGAAATATCAAAACTAAGGTTTCAATACTACATTATTGTGGCTTTCATTCTGATAACAAGTTCTCATGTTTAAAAATAAATATTTTGACCAATGACAGGTAAGCAAATCAGACTGAATAAGCTGAACATGTTGATTTGAGATTAGAGTCAATAAGCAACAACATGTAGACAATCATCTAGGAATCAAAACTGATAAAACCTCCTTCTAGTTCCCCATTTAAAACATGAGGAATTCAAAGCTTCTGTGTAGTATGAAATATCAATTAAAACTCCAAGGAATTCAGCAACTTATCTGTAATGCAAGAAAATGCTAAAGTTATAACTCTATTTTTCTGGTATAACCATTTTCATGTTTTAAATGACTCTACTTGGAACATATTAAAGAGCTAGCTTTTATAGAATTGGTTGGGTAACTATTGTTAAATTCTGATTTTGTCAAGAAGTATACTACTACAAAATCATTTGAAGACCTCAATAGCAAACCAGTTGCTTTGAGAAGATACAGAAATTAACAGGTTATCTGAAGACAATAATTCACAAGTGGACTAGAAAAGGATTAATAACTCAAAAATATTTAAAATCCTTCAAACTATGATCCATGTCCAAATATGTTTTCTATTTAGATTTAACTCAAATTTAAACATTGATGTTTGGCATTCATAATTCTGACTATAAATCAACTGAAAAATATAGTGATATATTTAATATTGTTCCAATTTTTCTCCCATAAAATCCAATTTTGAGCAATTATCTGTGGTCTTAGAGAAACAAACAAAAAAACCCCGATAATTCAAAATTATTGCCTTATAAACTATACAAGAATGACTTAAAGAAATTAAGGGCATATAGGTTTGTGAAAAGTATTAATACCTTAATGTAGTAAACCCTGTCATTTATGTAGATGACAATGGATTTCATGTTCATGAGCCTGTGTTTTGTATTTTAAGGTATCACACTCTTGATAAAAAGATGCAAGAAATATTAGATGACTGTGCAAATTTCACTAGTTATGAAACATACTGCTACTCACACATATTCTTTTACTTTTTTTCATCTATAAAAATTTTATTAGTAATCATCAAATGCATTTTCCCCCACCTTAAGACTCATCAGCAATCAGAAAGTTGAGGAGAGATGCCATGCTGATCTGAACTGCAGCAGGCATCATTGAGTAGGCCCCTGCACATGAGGTGACCTTAGGTGCCTGCAATCATCCTTCAATCTGAGACTGAAGCAGGAACTCAAATGGATTGTCTCTCACCCATTATTCACATCTTCAATGACTAACAAGCCATTATGTCAAATATTTACTATACTAGTCTCGTAGTGTAAACATTAACTACCTGCATTTTGACTTTTCAAAGAGCTTCATTAGCTGCTGGAATCTTTCTGAAACCTGAAAAATTAAAAGTGATTATAAATATCTCAACATTTATCATCTTTAATGAATATTTTTGCAAAACTTCTGAAGACAGAAAAAATTATCCTCAATAAAGATATGAATGTAATATTTAGAAAAACATAATAAAGGTGAATGTTTAATTTTTCAATATTAAATTTTATTAAACTAGCAAACACTACCAAATTGCCTGATAAAATAAGCAAATGGTAAGACACAGGGTAAAAAATGAGGACCATTTCAGCCATAATTCTTCTATAATCTCCAAATTTTTTTGTTGTGTTTTGAGTACCAGGGATTGAACCCAGGAGCATTTAACCACTGAGCCACATCCCCAGCCCTTTTGATATTTTGAGACAGGGTCTTACTAAGTTGCTTAGAGTCTCACTAAGTTGCTGAGACTGGCTTTGAATTTGCCACTCTCCTGCCTCAGCCTCCCAAACTGCTGGGATTATAGGCATGCAGCATAGCACCTGGTACAACCACCAAGTTTAATAGCTCTACACACAGCCATATTTTTAAGGAGGTCAGCTACTAAAATCTACACATTTTGTTAAATCTACATATGTAGAGAAGTAACACTGGTGAACCAACAGAGATGTAAAAATTGGGTTGTTACCTGATTTGGATTTTTATTCAACTTGACAGCTAAATATGTAAACGTTTTCAGTGATGGCCCTCTTTTCTGACACTCCAATAAAATTTCCCGGTCATCATTTCTGAGGAGGAAAATTATATTTAGCTTTTATACAATTGATGCAGAAAAAGTAATATATTCCACTGCCTTAATGTCCATGAATAGAAGTGACATTTTAATTGAAACCCATAGGAAAAAGATCAGAATATTCAAAATGGTTATCTGAGAAACACAAATATAAATTATTTTACTTTTTCCTTTTTTTGTGTTACTGGGTGGGAATTGAACCTGGTGGTGCTCTACCACTGAGCTATATCCTCAGCCCTTTTTAGCCTTCAGAGTAGCTGAGATTACAGGCTATAGGCATGTGCCCCCAAACCCACCTTAAGTGAGGTCTTAAAACCTGCATTTCTTAAAAAGTTCACATAAAACTCAAAAATACACTCTATCTAACTTTACAACGATTTGTAAAGTTCTAATTTAGGGAAAAAAAATAAATTACCCAAACTCCTAGGTTTTGTTTCATCTCTTCTACCATCTGTCATTCCTTTTTTTTGTTTTGTTTTAGTTGTAGTTGGACACAATACCTTTATTTTATTTTTATGTGGTGCTGAGGATCAAACCCAGTGCCTCACGCATGGTAGGCAAGTACTCTACCGCTGAGTGACAACCCCAGTCCTGACTTTCCTTTTTTCTAAAATGTGCTTATACTATTTCCTTCCAAATGAAAAAAAAAAAAAAGGTTTCTTTGTAACTGAAAAAACACAATGAAAATCCCTACTTTGATGGCTAATTCCCAACCCTATTTAAAAGTTATTACTACAGATTGTTCTACAGTATAGCCAGAATGTACCCTAGAATGTATCTTTAATTCTGGTCACTTTTAAAATAACTCATCACTTTTTCTTATTTTAATTAATTTATTATTGTTATTATTTATTTACTCATTTATTGCAGTGCTGAGGATTAAACCCAGAGCCTTGCACATGCTAGGGAGGCACTCTATCACTTTTCCTTATTTTAGGATGGGAAATATCTGATGACATTACAGATTAGATTGTAATTTCTTAAAATTTTCTGGTGATTAATGTCTCTACAAGATCCTTACCTTGTCCACAAAACTACAATTTCTCCCTTCTTTTTAATAATATTCTTTGCAGAAAGGCTTGTAGAATTGTTGGGTGCTATCGATGAATCCTTAATACTTGGGCTTGCCTTTAATGATGAGGGATCTTTATTCACTGTAGGGAGTTTTTTCTGACTGGTTTTCTTTTGATGACCTTCCCCACTTTCACCAGAATCTTGGCCAAGTTTGGTCTTTTCCCTACTAATTATGTCTGTTTCCTTTCTTTGTCTTTTCTGAGAAGAATGATTTAGCATAGAAAAACTTTTTCTCTTCTTGTGAGCATTATCCAAAGCCCCAGGAAATTCTGAATCATCAGAAATTGACGTGGGCTCTGATTTTAAATCATCCTTTTTTACTTCATACAAATCAGGAGATTCTGTGGTCAAATCTATATAGTCTTCTTCAACAATGCATTCCAAAGGCCTATTTCCTATTTGCACCTTTTCTTCCTTACAGTTATCTTCATCTACACATATTACCTGATTATCCAAACCTTCAATAGCTAACACAGGATGGTTCCCTTCATTTTTACTCTCACTTGAAGCATCTTGTGTCAAATCAATAAATGTACCTATAGTATCAGGGTGTAAAGAATTATCTAATATTTGAGCATTTTGATCTAAATTGCCTCCAGAACATTCCAACTGGTTGATATTTAAAACTGTTACTTCTATGAATTCCCCCAAGTTTTTGGTCTCAGTAACTGGATCCTTTGTTAGGTCTATATATGTGTTTGGAAGATGATCCACCACAGAGTGTGGGATTTCGTCCACTGAAGGCAATTCTTCAATGCTTTCAGGCACTTTTGGTTCCCATACTTGATGCAATTTAAAACAATCACCAGTCACTTCATCACTACGACCCATTTTACCTGAAGCATCTTTAAGAAATTCATATATATCAGGAACCTGTGTTTGTATCACAGAGTCCTGTTCTTCACGTGTTGGTTTACTGCTATCAACATTGTTGTTGGAATTTTCTAATTCCAACTCTGGAGACTTAAAAACTGAGTTCTGATCTGAAATATATTCTTTTTCTGCTGCTTCATCAGCTTTCTTTCCAATTCCTGGCAAAGGTACCAATGACTCATCAGCCACATTCTGTTTAAGACCAGGGGAAGTGGATGGTGCTGCACGCCTTATTTTCACAATGAAATGATCATTGGATTTTTCCATTATGACAGCATGCATGGGTAGATTAGGATGGTACTGAAAGCCTGGAGCAACAGACCGGCTTGTCCATGATGAAGAGCAACTTGATTTACTGCTTGAGTTATCAGACTCCAGAGCTAAGTGAATATCTTGCTCAGATGCATCCTCTTCCTCAAGTAAGGCATCTTCACTAAAATGTGCACTAATAACTTCCTCTGGAGTTGAACTAGACAAAACTTCAGGTTTTAAGAAACTGAGATGACCATCTGACTTCAGAGGTGATGGTACTGTTAAAGAGACTGCAAGATCTTCAAGGAGTATGGAAGAAATGCAGGACTTACCCTTTTCTGAACTACATACATTATCTTTACTTAAAGCTGTGTTAGTAGACACTTCAAACATACAACTTTCGTCCAACACATCAGGATGAACTGGCAACGAAAGCCCTGAAGACAGAGATGGACCTTTCTCAGATGATAATAATGACCAATTATCATCACTAATCATTTTGGGACATGGAGAAGCTACCCCTGAAACTAGCTCTTCTGTTGTACAAGTTGGTATAGATTCACACTTAAGACTCTCTAGAAGCTGTTTCTCTGGCGTCTTTAACTCCCACTCAGTTTTTTCAGTACAATTAACACTGTTGTCCAAAAGATCAGAACCTTGCAACAAACTTTTAAATATTTCACCCATCTGTGCATCACTAACTAAATTAAAAGTTAGGCTGGATGCTTGCTGTTCAGTAAGAATCTCAAAACTGCGTTCTGGCTTTAAAGCTGCATGCTGGGATGTCTGTGTATCTTCTATGGTGTTGCCTTCATTTTTCCCTGGCTTTGAGGTGCTTGGACAGTTTAGTTCCAAAGAGTGCTCAGCAGACTGAGAGTTTTTTATACTATCAAAGCAAGTGCTAAAATTTCTTTTAATGTCATGCTTCACTGCGTTAAGACTGGAGTTATTCTGGACTTGATGTTTCTCCTCAGATTTTTTACCTCCCAGCAAAGACTTACAATTCACAGAGTCTTCTGGTTTGGGCAATTTTTCTCTCAACATTTTTTTGTTAGAATTATCCACATTCCTCTTCTGTGAATTTGAATACTGTCTTTTGTCTTTACAAGTTTTTTCAGATTTTCCGTCATCACTGTCACTTCCAAAGTTTATGGAATCACAAAACTTTACCAAGATTTTCTTAAGCTTTGCAAATAAATAATCAAGTTGTTCATCTACAAACTTCCACAATTTTTTTTTCATATCTGGTAGCTGTTGTTCAAATAAGCGATCAACTATGCCATTCTTCTTAACTTGCTTAAGTTTAGATTCTATAACATCACAGAGATTCTTCTGTAAAGTAGTCACTGACTTAGAGATCTTGGATAAGTCAAGGTGTTTAATTAGTGATGTAAAACTCAAAATTGCTGACTCAACAATTCTATGAAATTGTATCAGTGAAAATTTTACCTTGAATTTCATATAATTTTTCCTCACATGCTTTCTTATCACTCGCAACATATGCATTATTTCTCGGACAGAAGAGGGTGCAGCAATAATTGAAACTATCTTTTCCAAGCTGGAAGTACTCATTGTTTTATCTTTCCTCTCTGTTTTTGAAGATCTGTTAGATTCACTTGGTCTTTTATTCCATTTGCTATTGGTCTGGTGGGTTTTTACAGATGTTTTTCTATGTTCTATATCCAAATGCATGGCATTTTTCCTCCTGCCTGGGCTAGTTTTTGTGTTCTGCACTTTAGCAGAAGTTCTAGGTTTGGCAGTTCTGTCCATAATTTTTTGTGGCTTAGGATTTTCACTATCACTTATAATTTCTCCTTCTTCTAATTCATCTAAAGATGAATTCTTACAGGAAACTTCTTCTGTACATCCATCAAATTTGAGAATTGGCTTTTGATTTTCCTTATTGAGATCAGACTGACTCTTAGACATACAATTAACAGAATTTGGTGGAATCACATCTGTGAAAGAGAAAAATATATTAAAGTCACACAACCACTGAGCAGTCATTTTGCAGTTCCATCTTAAAACAAAAAATCAAATACTGAGGCAATTCATTACTTTAAATAGTCTCCTTTTAAACAGCAGAATTTTAACACCTAATACTCCTTTTCATGCTTTCTTTAGGTACTAGGGATTGAACCCAGTAACAGTTTACCACTGAACTACATCCCCAGGCCTTTTTCATTTTTATTTTTTTAAGATAGGATCTAAGTTGCTAAGGCTGGCTTTGAACTGATGATCCTCCTGCCTCCTCTTCCCAAGTTGCTGGAAGTACAGGCACAAGCCACTGAAACCAACTATACTTACTCATTTCATTTGGCTTTTACTATTCTAAAAAGAGCTTAGAAGAGGCTGGGACAGTAGCTCAGTAGTTAAGAATACATGCTTATTATGTGGTAAAGCCTGAAGTTCAATCACCAGCAATGCAAAAACCAAAAACCAAATAAATAACACTTTTCAGAAGGTGTCTGACAAGTGCAGAGTTTGATCAACTGGAGATGATCTTTCCTTCATTTTAGCATCATCACCGCCTCTATGCATGATAATGACTTTTGAACTACAAAATTATATCTGGGCTGTGCCAGGGATGTAGCTCAGTGGTAGAATGTATAACTAGCATGCTCAAATCCAGCATCAATAAATAAATACACACATTTGAAAATGACTACAGTATTTGAAAAATCTGTTCAATCACTCTGTTTTTAATTAAGAATTAAAGGAGCTGGGGACATAGCTCAGTGGAGAGTGTATGCTTACTAGCACACAGAAGGTCCTGGGTTTAATCACTGTGCAAGGAAAAAGAAAAATTAAGAATTATCTTCATTCAGACTAAAGGCTCAATGTACACTACTAGTTAGCAAAAAGGTCTAAATAATATTATTCTCATGTTATCAAAAAAGAAAAAGCACCAACTTATCTTGCTTGTGTAATTTACATTATAAAAAAATTGAGTTGTGGAAGACATCACACGTAAGCTATTACCTTTATGAATGTTATTATACACTGGAACATGAGATGGGCTTTCCATTCTAAGAACTTTTGCTATAGGTCTCACTGGACTATTCAGAGGACTGATGGCTTCTGGAATAGGTCTCAGGTGATTAAGGTCAATGCTCAAAACTGAATTCTCATCATCATGACATAATGAGTTTGTTTCCCCAATTTCCATTCTGTGGTCCATCAATTCAATCTGCTGAAGGGAAGATGCTAAAGCCTCTTTAGGTGAGCAGGGCTCCAAATGACAAGACTTACTTTCAACCAGAGGTATATCTACAAGGGAAGGCTCAAATTTGGGGTTATCATGTTCTGAATGGACTACAGGTGAAATGCCAGTTCCTTCAATTGAAGATGGCACCTGTGTTTCACTGGTTTCAGCGACTTTACTTGCAGGAGCCTCTTTCATCTCCATACCCTCAGAAATACAAGAATTCAAACCACCTTGTCTTTTGGTATCCAATTCTAGGACAAAGTTTTGAGAAACACCCATTTGTAATACATCCATTATCACAGAGGCTTCTGCCCTTGCACCATCAACAATCTCTCCTGTTTCTGTTGATGGAAACAAGGATTCTGGTTGTTCCATTTGCACAGGTGTTGAGAAGGAAGTCTCTGTACAACAAATGGGCATTTCACAAGGCATAATATTTTCAACAGATTTAACCAGTAAACTATTATCTTCCGGTTTGCTTTCTGGAATAATGATCCTGAATTCAGACTCTGCTGGAAGAGAATCTTTTGGTTCCAGTAACTTTGATTTGTTTTCCTCTGGGATATGTTCACTGACAGAAGGCATACATGTCCCTGTTTCAGACTGTACCGAGGACTCTAAATCAAATCCACTGCTGGACTTGGGAGCATCTATTATTTTATGCTGATTATCCTGAGAAACAGGCTGTTTTTTTGCAGGAGAAAGAGTTAAGTTCAATTTTTCCATAAAACTTAATTTTAAGTCTTTATTTTTGGTTTCATTTGGACCATTCTCACCTCTCACTGCAAACTCTTTATTATCTGCTCCGTCAGAAACTTTGCTAATAGAGACTTCTCCTTGATCATTTTTTGGTTCATTCTCTTTCTTTAAATCAGTAGTGGTTTTCTTAGTTTCTTTATCAGTCTGCAAATGTTCTGAAGGTGACTTTTTGTCACTTCTCATATGCCTATTCTCCTCTTTGTTTTCTCGTTCTCTTTTCCGCTTATCTTCAGTTCTGTGCCTTTCAGGTTTTAAAGGTGTATTTTCCCTGTGGTGCATAGCATTGACTTCCTTGGAGTCCGTGTGTTTGTGAGTTCTACTGTTTGAAAGAGAAGATGAACACCTCCCATCTTGAAAACCATGACTGCTAACCCACCTGTCTCTTTTACAATCCTCCCATCCTCTTCTCTCCTCTGGATGGTATTTACTGGAATTATGAGACGATTTGATTTCAATCTTAGAATGGGGAGGTGGTGCTCGTTCAGATCTTCTCCAGTGATCCTGTTCCTTTCCTGCTGATTTAAGTTTGGGATCAACTTTTCTTTCTTCTTTGTCCTGTGATTTAAGTTCTTTTCTATTTGTATTTTGTGACCTTTCGCTTTGTCTATCTAGTTTTTTGTCATTTTGAGATTCAACTCGAGCATGTGATCTTTCCCTGGAGGTCTCCTTCTCCCAAGAAGAGCTGCTGCGTTCATTCCTGTAATCTGAATCTGTGTTACTTTTGAAATTTGAATTTTTGTTCTCAGCTTTTTGTTCACCTTTACCATGTTTCTCAGAACGTCCTTGTAGCCTTGGACTAGTTTCTGTATTCCTTGGTTCACCATCACCAGAGCTATTACTTAAATCTTTTTGTGGTCTATCAGTTCCTCTATTATACTGGCTGTGTCTAATATCTTTTCTCCCTCTTCTGTTATCCTCACTTGAGCTACCTTCACCAACTTGATAATGTGAACGTGACCATAAGCCATTGGTACAGTGCTTCTCAATGGATGTAGGCAAATGTGAAGTGTTCTTTTTTTCAGAATGTGAATTTCCTTCCTTTTCTAGGTTTGGCAATGAAGTATTATGATGTACATCTTTAGACACATCATTTCTAATTCTATGATCAGTCTTTGAACAATAATCCAAATGAGGAGATCTGGATCTAAGATCTTTTGTTTTAACTGCATCTGATGTCCTTGGAGTTTTATGATTATTTCGAAAATGTGGAAACTCAGACAATCTATTGAGAAAGAAATTAACAACAAAAAAGCAAAATTAGCTGAATAATCTTCCAAATGTTATTCACATGTGACACACTTTTAGAATTAGGAGCCTACAAAATGGCAAAACAAACTTCATGTTGTAAAAAAAGAGTGATTGGGGTTGAAGATGTAGCTCAGTAGTAGAGCACTTGCTTATTAGCATAAGGCAGGCTCTGGGTTTTATTCTCAGCACCACAGAAAAAAAGAAAGTGAGTGATTAAGAATTTACTTGTTTTGGCTGGGTATACTGCATGTGCAAGGCCCTAGGTTTAATTCTCAGCATTGGGGGTGGGGGTGGGGGATTTACCAGCTTCCAACTGAATTAGCCAGCATTCAAAATAAGGATGTCTCTTTTTCTCTCATTTGCTTTTACTTCAAAGGCTATCTATCCCAGCCACTTGCCAAACTATTTTAGTGTTCCTTACCATAGGTGCACAATCTCCAAACTAACCATCAGTTCACTTCTTATATGATAAGTGATCTATTCTTTCCCTCATTCACTCTAGTCTGACTGAAACAGAAGAATTAGAAAAGGAAAATACAAGGAAAGCTAGAAAACAGACACAATCAAAAAGTAAACCTTAATAGAATTCTCTAACCTCACTATCTATTTTGAAGACTATTCCACAGTAAAGCACAGCATAAATAGCCATCTTAAAGTGGTTCATGCTATGCAAAAATAAAAAAGAAATATAGCACTGGGATTCTTTTCTTAGGAGAATGACATGTATTGACTACTAAAAAATAAGTCTAAGTATTAAGGTTTATATTACTGTTTTGGAACACTGGTAGTTTTTCTAGCAATAAAATCAAGATAGCTCATTGTAGTTTTTGTGATCAGTTTATCTTCTTGAACTTCCATAGAGGTGACTTTTCAAAACTCACTTTTAGGCTAGGTGTAGTGTTGCATACCTGTCATCCCAATTACTAGTGAGTCTAAGGCAAGAGGATAAGTTCAGTCAGATTTGACAAGTTAGCAAGAACCTGTCTCAAAAAATGAAGACTGGTAATGGGGCTCACTGGTAGAATGACCCTGGGTTTGAAGTCCAGTAATCCAAAACAACCAAAAAAAAGGTGGGGGCTAGATGTGGTAATTTTTGCCATAGCATGATGCCCAGATTTATGCTTCAGAAGGTAGTTATCCTATGGCTGTAATACCAAGAAGAGACAAACTGGAAGCTAGAGAGAGTAAAAACAGATGCACAGATACCAACAGAAAGATCACTACCAGTTCAAATGGGAATAGAATGGTGGAAACAACTGTAGGACAAAAGAAAAAAATATCTGCAAGATCAAAAGTCATCAATAGAATGTGGTATCAATCTGGACTGGGGGAATGATGGAGATTTAAGTGTCAATGATGACCCCTATGCAGAATGACTACATGTCCCAGCTTGCCAAGCAATCTTGGCATATAATTACTGTTAGCTATTCCTTCAACTCTTACAAGTATTCTAGTATAGACTATAAATTAAATGGTCATGCAACTCCTATGTCTCTGGTTTACACTAATCAAATAAATGACAGGACAATCCACTGAGCTAGAAAACAATGAAAAAGTTTTAATGATAAATCACTTTTGTTTGAGGTCATTTAAAAAAATCTTTAAAGACAAGTATGTGCATATATAAAGTAGGTATATACATATAAATGAAACTGTTCTAGCATGGGTGAGATTGTATTATTAAGAAAATACCAACATAGCTGGGCACAGTGGTGGCTATAATCCCAGCAACTTGGGAGAGTGAGGCAGGAGGCCAGCCTCAGCAACCTAGTGAGGCCCTAAGCAACCTATCTCAAAATAAAAAATTAAAAAAGGGCTAGAGCTATAGTTCAGTGGTAAAGCACCCCTGGGTTTAATCTCCAGTACCAAAAAAAGATAATACTGATAGAGGAAAAAAAGGACAGAGGCTTGAGCTTTGAGAAATGAAACCTACAACTAATTACAGGAAGAAAACTCACTAAAACAAAATGAGAAAATATTTCAAGAAGGGATGTTGGTCAACTGTGTCAAACAATGTACAAAGGGGCCAGTTAAATGGAAGTCAAAACTGTTTGATGGATTTAGTGGAGGTGACTATTGACCAAAAAGATAGCTACTTTGGTAGACCATTGGAGGCAGATGTCAGATGGACTGGGTTCAAGAGTGAGTAAAAAGACAGGAAATGGAAACAGCCAGTTTAGACAACATTTTCAGACATTTGGTTATGAAAGGAAGGAAAGGTACAAGCTTCTCTACAACACAGATTGTCCCCAAATAAAGAACAAAGAGTGAGCAAAATAGAAAACCCACTTGAGAAATAAAAGAATACATAATTGAGACATAGTTTAAGAGCTGTTAATTAATAAGTGCACATGCTTTTTTGTGTATGTGCTAGGGATTGAACCCAGGACCTCACGCATTGCTCTACCACTGACCTACCTACACCCCAAATCCCTGCTCTCAGTATTTTAGTAATTTGGTATAGACCTAGAAAGACCCATAACATTTACACAATCTTTTCAGAAACAAAGAGTATTAGAATAAGATCCCAGGTAGTTTAGTAAATGGAATATACTCATGGAGGTATGTGGCAATGTTCTATAAATTATACATGTAAATCATTATGACAATAAACCATTAACACATTAGTTATTATTCTTACTAAATACAATAAAATATATATTTTCATTTTCCTACTGAAAGTAAAAATTATTCTGCACATCAATACCCACATAATTTAAAACATCCACATCCACCCCTTAGTTATACCTTTGGTGAAGATTATTTATTTCTTCATCTTTGCGGTTTATTTCCACTCTGGCAGTTTTGATAAGTGCTGAAATATTCTTTTTAAGAGACTGGTTTTCATTTTTTAAGCTGAAGTTCTAAAATATAAATTAATAAATACATTACTAAAGTACATATCCACAGGACTATTAATAGTACACTTATATTAGTTAGGAATTATTGAATGCTAACCATGCCGGGCATGACATCATTTTATCTTATGTAATTCTAAAAAGAAAAGCAACCCTATGAGAATTACTAGATTACTATAATTCCCATTGTACAGTCAGGGAACTAAGAGCCAGAAAAGATAGCCGGCACCAGAAAAGGCACACTTACAATAGAGTTTAAAATGTAAAAACAATAAACATCAGAAGAAATTTTTCTGCATGGGTCACTCTCTTGAAAATCAAAAGCAAAAATTGATAAGAATTTTATTACAAAAGGAGAGAAAAGGGAAATTGCATGGAAATGGAAGGAGACCCTCAGGGTTATACAAAAGAACATACAAGAGGAAATGAGGGGAAAGGGAAAAATAATAAAAGGGGGAGAAATGAAGGTCAGTAGAGGGGGTAGAGAGAGAAGAGGGGTGGGGAGGGGAGGGGAGGGGGGATAGTAGAGGATAGGAAAGGTAGCAGAACATGACAGTCACTAGTATGGCAATATGTAAATCAATGGATGTGTAATTGATGTGATTCTGCAATCTGTATATGGGCTAAAAATGGGAGTTCATAACCCACTTGAAGCAAAGTGTGAAAGATGATATATCAAGAACTATGTAATGTTTTGAACAACCAACAATAAAAAAAAAAAAGAAAGAAAAAAAAAAAAAAAAGAATTTTATTACATTTAACAACTAACGTTAAGCCTGAAACTATGAATTAGTTCTCAGATGAACAAAGAACAAAATCTAGAGTTGACTTGTTCGGGAACAGAACAGAAAAGGAACAGAAGAGAAATAATTTTACCAAAAAGTAAAATAGGACATCAAATTCTTAATTTTTTGCAGCAGAATCACAAAACGGGTCATTTTTGCAAAAACTATGAAAGCACCATCACCATTTTTTCACAAAAATCATTCTAAATCTTTGATCCTAAAAACCATATTGTTTTAAACCACCTGTTTCTATAAATATTAAAATTTATTAGTTGGTTTAACAGATTTTTTATATTGATGCCATTTTAACAATTCAAGCAGTTTTCCTTTATCAATTTCATCAAATCAAGAAATAATGCTAAGGACTGGATATATAGCTCAGTAATAGAGCATGTACTTAGCATGGGTCAGGCCCTGGGTTCAATCTCCAGCAGAAAGAGAAAATAAACCTTCTTTATAAACTGCCAACATGTCAATTTCTATTTATAATAACAACAAAAAAGTAGGGCTGGGGTAGAGTACTTGCCCAGCATGATGAGGCCCTGGATTTGATCCCCAGTATCACCAGAAACAAACAAAAAAAAACAAACCCCAGCTTCTTTATATAAATGACCAACATTTGAGCATAACTTCTATTTGTAACAACAATGACAACAAAAAGTACACTTTTTCAGAAGAAACTGGGTCTCACTATGTTTCCCAGTCTGATCCTGAAGTGGGTTTGAATGATCTTCCTGCCTTCAGCCTCTTTAGTAGCTGGGACTGCAGGGACCATGCAAGGGCCAAGCTGGTTGGTCTTGGGGATTGAACCAAGGTATTTTAAAATTTTGATTTAAAAAGTTAACAAGGTTTATAGTAGCTCAATTCATAATAGCTAAATTATGGAACCAACCCAGGTGTCATTCAATAGATGAATGAATAAAGAAAATATGAATGAATAAAGAAAAAATGGAATATTACTCAGCTTTAAAGAAGAATGAAATTATGGCATTTGCCAGTAAATAGATGGAGCTAGAGAATATCATGCTAAATATTTGTCAATTTTTTTTTTGGGGGGGGGGGGACCAAAGGCTAAATGTTTTCTCTAATATGCAGATGCTAATTCACAATAAGGCAAGGAGCACTAGAGAAGAACAGCATTACCTTAGATTAGACAGAGGGAAGTGAGGAAGGGGAGGGGAGAAGATGTGGGGATAGAAAAAAATAGTAGAACAAAACAGACATTACTCTATGTATATATGTGACTACATGACCAATATAATTCTAAAACATGTACACTCAGAAAAATGAGAAATTATATCCAATCAATGTATGATAAAAAAGTGCATAAATGCATTGTCATGTATAACTAATTAAACCAAGTTAAAATTAAAAAGGTGAAAAAAAAGTTAAGGCAAAAATAAAAGATTCATTATAATCCCACCTGTGTCTGTATTTCCTTAAACTTTTTCATCAGCTCTTTCATCTGCAGCTGACATTTTCCATATTCTACCTGTAACTGTAAAATATAAAAAGATTAATTTAAGCATCATACTAAAATATTTTCTTAGCTTAAATGACATTTCAAAATATTCAAAATTTTACAAACCAATCCTCGAAGAGGAATATGTCTACTAAAAATAAAGGCTGAGATTGTAGCTTAGTAGTAGAGTGCTTGCGTAGCAAGTGTGAAGCATTGAGTTTGATTCTCAGCACTCCATATAAATTAATAAAATGAAGGTCCATCAACAACTAAAAAAAAGTATTTAACAAGATACTAGTTCTTGAAGTTTGGTCTACCAATAATTAATTTTTTAAAGTTTCACATTCAACCTTTAAATCTTAAACTTCAAATATGGTAGAAACTTCTTTCATTTAAGTCTCAAGACATATTATACAATATAACTTAGTACAAATCATAAAAAAATAAAAATGTTATATTACACTGTAGCTATCTGAGTAAGGTTTTATATACTGAGACATTCAAATTTAGCCAAGCAAAATTGTAACTAAATTTAAACAAGTATTCAGAAAACATTCCTTTAAAAAGCAGGTCTGAAGGCAGAAACTGACTTAAATATTCTTTGGGTTTTTTTTTTTTTAACTGGGGATTGAACTTAGGAGCACTCAACCACTGACTGAGCCACATCCCCAGCCCTATTTTGTACTGTATTTTATATATATTTAGTTATAGGTGAACACAATAACTTTATTTTATTTTTTTATGGGGTGTTGAGGATCGAACCCAGTGCTTCACGCATGCTAGGCAAGCGCTCTACCACTGAGCCACAACCCCAGCCCTCTATTTTGTATTTTATTTAGACAGGGTCTCACTGAGTTGCTAAGTGCCTCACTTTTGCCGAGGCTGACTTTGAACTCTCAATCTTTCTGCTTCAGTATCCTAAGCTTCTGGGATCACAGGCAGAAGCCACTGTGCCCAGTTTTAAATAAATACTTTTAACCTAAGAATTAATTCTTAAACACAAAATATTTAATCAATAGTAAGTTGCTGCCTGCTTTTGGGGAGCTACAAGAGTAAACAAGTATCATTAGTAATTGTGGTAACGCATACATCATTGTACGTTGCCTCCTTTGCAGTTCCTTCTTCAGTCAGGATCTCTTCATACAAATCCAAACAATTTCGAGATGGCACACAGGATTTGGAAGTGCTGTCTAAAACAAACAAAAACCCTTTACGTTAACATATTAGGCTTCTTGATGTTATGTCTACCTCTATATATTTCTCCCTCTACTATATTTAATTCAAATATATACTGATTTCACAGATGACAGGTGAAATGTTGATTTACCTAAAATCAAACATGATAATCATATTTCTTCAAAACACTGGGAGATCTAGCATGAAAAAGGTTTCTAATTTAGATAGGTCCTAGACTCTCTGCATATCATTCTTATTGACACATTTGAAAATATTTATTAACTTTTCAAATGTTCTAATATCTTGCAACCAGTGATAGGAATAAGCAATAACATGCATAGACAACAACACCCATGGCATTTCAAAGAACAAAAAACATTTAAATCTGAGACTTGATTGATTGACAAAACTGTATGCTAATTTGCTTTACTGATCAAGGTTTGGGCAATAAGAAAATTACCTGAGTGTAATCATTTCAAAGAATGGGCAAATTTAGAAGCCATTAGGTTATTAGGAATTGCTAACAACAACAACAAAAAACCTAATAAAATGAGATTATTTCATGGAATTTACATACCAGAAACAGCATTGTCCAACCCAGCATATATGTCCAGTGAGCCTTCATCATTATTTTTAAGAGGAGAAGCTGCAAGAACAGCAAAGATTAGTTAAAACTGACTTTATAAACTAAGGTTTCTTTCCCAGTCCAGGAAAAGATTTTTTAATTTTGCTCCAAAAAAGACAAGCTTTTCTACATACCGATAAACAGAAAGATTTCTGCACTAGATTTGTAGATTTGTAACTTTACTTCAGATTTTAAAAATTTCCTTTCAAATAAATACTAATGAGAAGGTTTTAATTTCAGTAATAACAGACTGGTTTTTATCAAATCAATCTGCAGATAACAAGTATAAATGCTAAATAAAACATTAAAAGCTATCTGAAGAGTCAGAGAACAGGCCAAAGCAGGAAAAAACTGAGAATGTATAAGATCTTAGATATCTAGCACTACAGGGATTGGAGGGATAGGAAGACTATCTGAAAGAAGACTATATGAGTTCCCCATTTTCCTTTTTTTACTGCTTTTTGTTGAAGGACAGGTCCAGGTTGCTCTAGGTAGAGCTACACTAAGCATTGAAAAATCAGATGGAAACCTCCAGTCTTTTTTTTTTTTTTAAACCAGGGATTGAACCCAGGGGTGCTTTAACCACTAAGCAACATCCCCAGCCCATTTTATGTTTTATTTTGAGACAAGGTCTTACTGTCTTAGAGCCTCATTAAGTTGCAGAAGCTGGCTTTGAACTTGTGATCCTCCTGCCTCAGCCTCCAGAGCAGCTGGGATTATAGGGATATGCCCCCATATCCAGCTGAAACCTCTAGTCTTAATGGCTTGAAGAACAGAGGAAAAACTACTGAGTTGACAACACCAATTAGAAGGCAAGAGAGGAAATCCAAAAAGCCAAGGAGGAATTTCTCCAAATTCTGCCCCAAATATCTGGGTGACCTCCACAAAAGGTAGAACTCCAAAATAGATAGCTAAACTATCTGAACAGAGATTTCAGTTGTTATCCACCTCAAGGGAGATGAAAGTTTAAGTTCAGCTACATTAAATTTGCTAAAATTAAGAGAGGAATGTATCAGATAAAATAATTTAGAGGAATATAACAGAACCCAGTGTCATATCATTCATAATGTCACAAATATAATCCAAAATTACTATACAGAAAAATATCAGCCGAGAAATACAAACAAAAATAACCACATGGAAAAAAAAAACTAAAACTGGTAACTGGATATTTAAAAAAAAACAAAAAGTCACTGGATGTACTTTATAAAAGAGCCAGTGAACTATGTAAATCAATAGAAACTACCCAATCTGTAGAAAGAAAGCAAAAGACAAAGGGAGAAGCAGCAAATCTTAGTGATCTATAGGATATCAAAAATTATCTATAGATATCACATAATGTTAATCTGGAGTCCAGAAGGAAATGGAAAATAAAGGGAAAATGATACACTGGGATGCTAAAGTACACTAGATGGAGTAGTAAGGTAAATGACTATAAACAATTGAGTAAATATACAGTATAATTTTTCCTCTTAATTTCTTAGTTCCTAATTCATTAAGATGTATAGGACTATTTAAAGTAAAAATTATAGCACTGCATTTTGGGCTGTGACTACTATAAAATAAAGAACAAGATAGAAGATAAATCCAACTATAAGATTCTATATTTTATGTGAAAAAGTACAATTCTAATAAACAGACTATAAAATGTTAAAGACCTATCATACAATCCCTTGAACAACCACTGAAAATAATGCAAAGAGATATAACCAAAAAGATTATATATAACTTAAAATGGAATTTAAAAATATACTCAAAGTAGAATGTATATTGGAATTGTCATTATTTTTTAAATGTATGTAGAAATGTAATTCAGTGGTAGAGTGCTTGCCTGCATGCACAACACCTTGGGTTCAATCACTAGCACTGCAAAGAGAGGGGGGGAAAAAAAAAAAGAAGTATAAGCAAGGACAGGAACTTGAGAGTAATATACAAAAATGAAAAGAGCTGTATCAAGCAAATGAGATTAACCATGTAGTTCTGTCCTTCAAAATTTTAATAAGGTTGTAGATGTAATAAAATTTATTTATTTTGTGGTGCTAGGGATTGAACACAGGACCTCAAGCATGCTAGGCAAGCATTTCACCACTGAGCCATATCCCCAGCCCAGATGTGATAAAATTTAACTATTTGAGAATCCAGATGAAAGATAAAGATGTTCATTATATTACAGATTCAATTTTTCTGTAGGTTTACAGTATTTTTTAAAAAATCATAAGAGAATTGCAACTTGAAACTACATCAGCAAAAATAATCAAGTTACACTGAACAGTATTACCCAGACTGGTTATGATGACATTTGATATAAGCCCTTCCATATCTATGAATAATATTTTTTATGATGTTAGGGATTGAACCTATTATTGGCATGTTAAGCAAGTAGTCTATCATGAGCTACATCTCCACCCCTATGAATATTTTTAAAAACATTCTAAGTAAAAGTAGAATTCTACCAAACCCACCTATCTTTTCACTATAGCATTCATAATTCTCATTCACAATATGCATCTATAGTCTTAAAAAAATGTAATGAGGTCACAACATAACTATAAGAAAAAAATTAAATAATAATGTTATATCAGGATTTGGAAGTTTATCTTCTGCATATTATCTAAGATACTTTTATTTAGTGCTAGAGATACAGCTCAGTGGCAGAGCACTTATATACCACATATGTGAGGCCTTGGATTTTATTCCTAGCACCATCAAAAACAAAACAAAACAACAAAAAAGACAATAAAAAAACTTTTTATGAGCTTATTTTACTACCGGGTCTTCGTTTTCTCTTGTTCAAACTAACCATTCATTGTGACTGTTGTTTTTTTCTCTGAAAAACATTAAACAAGAATAAATGCACTTACTGAAAATATTAACTACAAGAGTAGTGAATACTTATTTTGGATGTCAATGGCATTTATTACCATTCATATTGGCAAAACTGCTAACTTGATTACATTTAGAAGTTAGAAAGGATATGATAAAAAGATCAATTGGGTTTTGTGGTGCACACCTGTAATCCCAGCTCCTCAGGAGACTAAAGCAGGAGAATAACTCAAGCCTTAAACTCAAGGAATTTAAGGGTAGTTTGAAGAACACAGGATGACCCCATTTCAGAAAAAAAAAAAAAATAAGAGTTGGAAATATAGGACCATAGCTCAGTGCTACAGTGCTCAATACTATGTGTGAAGCCCTGGATCGTCAGTACCATAAAAACAAACAGAAAAAGGTTCACATTTACTAAGCACTACTTATGACCCAAGCATTTTATTGTATTAATTTACTTATGTGAAGAGAGAAAAGGATACTAATGGCAGTTTACCATGAGGGTAAGTAAATGATTTGAAATTTAAAAACTGAGGCGGGCTGTGGCTCAATGGTAGCACACTTGCCTGGTATGTGTTAAGCACTGGATTCAATTCTTAGGACCACATATAAATAAATAAAAGTTTATCAACAACTAAAGAAAAAAAAAATATATATATATATAAAGTAAGTGAGGCTGGGGTGTTGCTCAGTGATAGTGCGGTGTGTGTGCTTAGCATGCACAAGATCCTGATTCAATAGCCAGCACCAAAAATTTTAAAAATAAGTAAATGGAAAGTCAGTCAATTTAGAAAGACAATTAAAAGTAACCTTACCAGAAAAGACATCAAATAAACTTGTTCCATCACCATTGTCATCATCTGCTGCCATGATCCTATTTCCTTTTGAGAGTTGCCATCTAAGGTATTAAAAATAAAGATTTTCCACTGTTAAAATCAACCTCACAATTCAGAAAATAAACCTAGCTTCAAGTCAAAAAGCAGCTTTTAAATTTGGAAATACTAATAAGTTTACTCTCTAACATACTAAAAAACAGACTCATGATAATAAAAAATATGCCTAGCCAGGAGGTAGGCACACACCTGTGGATCCTACCTATATGAGAGGTTGTGATAGGAGGATTGCCAGTTTGAGGCCAGACACTAAATTTAGTGAGACCCTGTCTCAAAATAAAAAATAAAAAGGGCTGTGGATGTAGCTCAGTGGTAAAGCTCCCCTGAGTTAAAAAAAGATATCATCTGGGCAAAAGTCAAAACTATAAAAAGAAAAAGTGTTAATAAGATTAAAACCACACACAAAGTAAATGATACTACGTTTATAAAACAGATCAAAATATACTAACACATCCAAAGCCTTGGGTTTAATCTCCAACAATGCTTGAAAAAGAACCCACAAAATACAAATCTAATTTTTGACTAAAATAAGAACCATCACCATTCTCACCAAACACATACACACATTAATATTAGTAAGAAAGGTTGGGGATGTAGCTTAGTGGTAGAGTACTTGCCTAGCATATGTGATGCCCTGGGTTCAATCCATAGTATCACAAGAACTATACACACTTGCACACAATCCCTTAGATCCACTGCTAAAAAAAAAAAATGGGCAAAAAAAAAAAAATTAAAAAGAGGGGAAAACATCTTTAGAACCAAAAGAATTTAACTTCAATAATAATGAAGATAATGCAAATTAAGACAATGAGATATCATGTATAGAAAAGCAGTGATGTAGTCAGGTCTGACTACTTGGCTTACAAAGGCATTAGCGTGCAGTCTAGAAATCTGGACTTCATGAGGATTCCTACTATTTCCAGAACTGATAACAAGTGGCTTACCATATCTAAACTGTTCATACAAACAAAATGGTTTATGCTAAATACCTGCTTTCTTTCTAGAAGTCTAAAACTTTGATAAGTACAAGGAGGGGCATTTCATAGCATCAGCCCCTAATAAAAACCCTCCATAAAGGAGATCAGGAAAACCCTCTTTAACCACTTTACTATATAAGGAGATAGTGAAAAGATATCATCTTTAAGCAACCAGAACCCCATCAGAGATCCAAGTCTTTTGTGGACTTTTCAGCCTCCACAACTGTGATTAGTAAATGTTTGTTGTTTATAAGACAATCAGTGTATGGCATTTTGTTATAGCAGCAGCCTGATCAAACTAAGACAAATAAAGAGCCCAAACCATAAGTAAACAGCAATAGGATTTTTAACAAACTGAATGCAGCACATAAGTACCACTCAGATCAAGAAACAGATCATTTTCAGTACCCTAGAAACCCTCCTCATGTACCCTCACAGCCACTATTCATTCCCAAATCTTGAAAGATGTACAAAGAACAAAAGCATATACATTGCTGGTAACTTGCTCTGTAGATGTAGTATCTGCATGTCTATGGAGGATTAGGGAATATCAGTAAGGATGTGTACAGATTCTACGTGAGAACACCATTAGCAAAACGTTGAAAGAAAGCTTGATTAGGATAAACACATAGAATTGTAAATAAATACCTTGGTTGGAATGTACCTCAGGTAGAACAAAATTGGGAGACAGACTGTCAAATTCATTAATGTCACACAGAAGATACTAAACATCAGAACAAGAAATCTGAGCTTGATCATTTAGAGCACAGGAGCACGGAAGTGAGAACCTGTTCTTCACATTTTCTAGCTTCTAGAAGCTGCCTGCATTTCTTTGCTGGTGCTTCTTCCTCCACCTTCAAAATCAACAATGACCTATCTTCTTTCCTTTTCAACCTCAGCTTCTCAAAGTCACATTTTCTCTTTGCTTCTGTCATTCCATTGACTTTCCTAGCTCCTGCCCTCTGAGTCCTTCTTATAAGGACTTGTGTGAGCATAGTGGGACCACTTGAATTATCTAGAAAATACTCTCCCCACTTCAAAATCCTTAGTTACATCTGCAAAGTCTATTGCCATTTAAGATAACATATTCACAGGTACTCAGGATTAGGAAATGGGTACCTTTTGGGGCCATTATTTGGCCAACCACACTAAAGAACTCATTTTAAAATTTTAGTTAAATAGCCACATGTGATCAAATATACTACACTGGATAATAGACCATGAACTATCTGAAGGCAGGGATCAAGTTTTATTAATCTCTGTATTCCTGACACTAATATACATACTTGAAGATGTTTACTATACAAACAAGGAAATGGGCCAAAAAAGACTAAACCAGCCAAAATAAATATCTAAGTCCATGAATTGAAGCACATAGTTTATTCTTAAGAAAATTCCACTGGCTTCACACAGTCTACTTAATTTCATTTACCATGGAAAACTCACATCTAAAGGATTTCATAGAATTGTGGTTATTACAATTTCAGTAACTATAAATGCCTTTTGAGTACTTGTAAAAATGTTTAGTTTCTTAAGGTTATGAACTCCTGGATATCATCAATCTTATTTTCAATAACTGAACAAGCATAAATTATCTCTTTGGGTTAAACTATTGGACAAAAAAAAGTTAAAAAGAGCAAGTATCACCACAAAACGTAGGGGTACTAAAACAGATTTATAGTCAGCCCTGTTGCCTCCTCCAGGGGCCTGAAAACTAGGGACTACCTATACTAAAATACAAACCAATAGTCAGCAATAAGATGGTAAATAAATACATTCCTGTAAGTAATCAAGTCTAAAACAAAGAGATCATCAATATCTACTCACTTCTTAACATCTCTATTTCTTGAAGTAACCCTACCATTTCCAAATAGCCTACTTACACTACCTTTGCAATATTTCTCCCATTTATGCCCATTCTTGCCATTTCAATGTGTTCCAGGCCCTCCCTATTGCTATCTAATTTTCTCCCTACTCCAAATACATGTTGCAAACAACTATTGGATTAATATCACCTCTTGTTCAAAATTTTTCCATTACTTCCCATTATCTAGTGAATAAAGTCCATACTTCCTTAAGGAGATAGTGAAATACACTGATATCTACTTTTCTAGTCCTATCATTCACTATCCCAGAGTTTCCAAAAATCCATTTTATGTCCAATTAAATTTTGCTCCAGTTTACAAACACACTTACTGACACTATCACCCCATAGCTCTTCCTCACATCTATCTGAGTTTACAAGCAAGTACAAGATGTGAATACCCAGATTAGAATATGTGAAGCCAAGATTAAAATGTGAGTTTTCAAAAAGTCAGGAGACAGGGGAAGAGGTTTATCTCAGTGGCAGAGAAGTTGCCTAGCATGCCTAGTTTGAGCCCCAGGACTAGCGGGGGGGAAAAAAAGGTTGGGAATATACTAATGATTAAGATCCAGTAGGGATTGGGAGAACCACTGAAGATTTCAAAGCAAGAGAACATCAGTCAAACCTGCACTTCAGAAATTTAACTCTAGCAAGAATATGGAAAATATTAGTGGCAAGCACAATAGGGAAGGCTTACCAAAATAGCGCAAGTAATAGTAAGAAGTCATTCTAAATTATTTTTAGTGGAAATAAAGACAAAGAACAGATTTGAAAGATTTCTGTGGCACAATAAACAAGATTTAATGGATAGTGTATTCAAATGTCCCCTGTTCCCTATTTCAAATTGTTTTTCACGCCACAACCTGAGCTGTCTTTTCAAAATGCAAATTTAATTAAGTTCCCTCCTCTGCTTAAAACCTTTCAGTACTTCCTGATGATCTTAGGATAAATTTTTCTCACAATTTTTTTAAATACTCTTTTTAGATGTTAATGGACCTTTATTTTATTCATTTATTTATATGTGGTCCTAAGAATCAAACCCAGTGCCTCACAATGCTAGGCAAGTGCTCTACCACTGAGCCACAACCCCAGTCCTCACAATTGTTTTTAAGACCCTGCATAACCTGGCCTCTAACCATCCTACTGATGTTACTTAGAGTCCTCTCTATTCCCCAGCAATCTATGCTCTGACTGACTATATTGGCTTTAACTCCTTGAACATGTTGTTTGTTCCTTCTCATACCGAATATTCTACAGAGCACTCTTTGCTCAACACCCTACCTTTATTTAACTCTTCGATATTTTGGCTTAAGTAATGTTGATCATCTCCTGGCCACTCTCTCTGCCTACTAGGTCATGTCCTTAGTAATATTTTCATATATATCACTGTGTCCTTTCTCTATCTGACTTCTCATAGCTCACATTTACATTTTTGTGGGATTCCTGGAGAAATGACCATATTATCCACTATACTGAAGCTCTATGAAGACAAAGACCATCTCCATTTTGTTCACCACTATATCCCCAGCTCTCAGCACAGGGTCTGGTGGGTTGTTAAATAATAAAAGAATATTGTTTGAATTAATGAAATTTCCGATTTCTTAAACTCTTTGAAGTTTCTAGCTTTGAGAGCAAGGTCATAATTTTAATAGCAATGAAGAAACAAAGATATGAATTATCTGTATAACATCTAGATGGAGATGTCTAATAGAGGGCTGGAAATAGTATGTTGCACAAAAGAGAAGGCATGGTAGGTATTATGATTTGGAACTCATCAGCATCTTGGTAATACCTGGGGTTACGCTCTTGAAATCACAAAGGCAATTGACTCTCCTAGAAAGAAGGGGAGGAGGGAGAAGAGAAAGAAGTATGTACAGTATTAGATTAGTTGGGAAAAAGAAAGTTTTTTACACTTGCTCTCACCTTCTCCCATTTGAGGATCTCAATATACAATGAGACTTACTACTAACGGGAGTGGTGCACCTGTGAAAAGCAGAGACAAAATTTTTAAACCTGAGAACCATAATGATTAAAAAGAGCTGTTAGCTGGGGGTGTAGCTCACTGGTAAAAGGACATATTTAGCATGTTCAAGACCTTGAACCCAAAGCTGGCTTCAATCCCTGTATTGTAAACTCAATTACTCACACATAATTGTTCTATTCAGATATGAAAGCAAAGTAGATAAGGATAAACTAGTCTTTTTGACAGGACAATGTTTTAAAAGGTGGTCTGAAGGAAGTTTTATTTTTTAAAAATTGCAACAAAAGGGGCTGAAGATGTAGCTCAGTTGGTAGAGTGCTTGCCTCACATGCAGAAGGCCCTGGGTTCAATCCCCAGCAACACCACCACCACAAAAAAAAAAAAAAAAGAGCAACAAAGCAAGCATTTGTAGAGAATAATAGAAAAAAGCCAGGGATGGAGACAGCATATTAGACTCCAAGGATGTGTGAGGGGAAGATACTAACAAAAGTTATCGTATACTGAATATTTTTTTTAACTGAACACAGATTTATTTTGGTCATTATTTACTAAACACAGCAATAATAACTATTTACAAAGCATTTACATTGTATTAGGTGTTTATATAATCAAGAGATGATTTAAAAGCATACAGGAGAGTGTTTTAAAAGTATACAGAACAGTGTCATATACTATGTATTTATTATGAGCGAAGTACTGACCTAAATGCTCTAAATACATAAATGACTTGCCTTGAATCTCCCTTAATGTCATATGAGGACCATATTATTCTTTTTTCTCATTTTACAGATGAGGACTATTAAGACACAGACTATTAAGAAATTTGCCCAAGGTGAACAGCTGGTCAGTCTCTAAACCCAGAGGACCAAAATCAAGAATATATATTACAACACGAATATACGTGTATCTACACATATAAATGTGCGTGTGTATACACACACACATAAAAGGTCATTATCTCTTGTAAAACGTCAGGAAATTCAAGGAAAAAATAATTTGGGGGAGGGAAGTGAATAAGAGAATTCTTGTCCTAGTAGCCTCTGTCCCTCTTGAAAAGGCGTGGTGGGAGATGGGGGATGGGTCTTGAGGACTGGCCAAAGTTTTGATGCTGGTGCTGTGAATAAGAAAGATCAGGGGCTAGTCAAAAAGTCAAGGGTCAAAGTCAAATTAATCCTAAAACACAAACGCTGAGATTTCTGCGAATTCTACATTCACATCTTAGTTACTGTGTGTTAGGTTTTGGTTACTGTGGTTTTAGGTGCTGTATTGACCAAGACAAATAACTTCTCTCGGTATAACAGTTTCGGAAACAACCAACATAGTGATCACCTGACACTGGAAAAACCATTTTTCCAGAGAATCCTACCCAAAAGCTTTTAAGAGTGTGTACCAAAGCCAGATTGGATGGGGGGAGGGGCGCGAAGAGTGGTCGAAAGAGCAATTCCTCCCTGCGTTCGCTCCCAACCCCCTCCCGGACCCTCTCCTGGGAACGTCCAGGGACAGCAGAGCGACGCAGAGCGGGAGCCACAAAGGTGCACCCCGGGGCTAGGGGAACGTGGCTACCTGCGGTCCACAGACGTAAGGTGCGGCCCTTACTCCAATCACTTAGTCGTTTTAAATGGGCTTCCCCCGACTCACTGTCTTCCCGGGCGCAGCCAGTCTCGGTTTTGGAGACTACAGCACCATAGAGCCTCTTCCTGCAGCCCGGCTCAAAGCGGGTCCCCACGGCAACTTACCCGCCCTGCCCGGCCCAAGACAGCCCGGGTTCCCTTCTGGACGCCGAGTTCTCTTTGGCATCTCCACCAATACCAACGCGCAATGAGGACGCGGAGGCGGGACGAAGGGCTCAGAACCAATCATATCAGACGCAAAGCACGTTCCGGCGCACACAACTAGTTCCCGCCTTTGGAAAGAGGGAAAAAAAACACGGTTGGCGCCAAACTCCTGTAATCTTCTGCGGGACTTAAGGGGAAAGGGGCGGGGCATAAGGAGGCGAGGACGAGGACGGGGCGGAGCGAGGCCTTACTACGGAAGGGGCGGGACCTGAGCGGAAGCAGCAAAAGCTCTGGGAGGCTCTTTAATGAAAGGGGAAGTGCGTGCTCCGAAGGCTTCGTCAGTTATTGAGTCCTGTATTCTGTAAATTCTATTGATAGTCAACTGATAGACGTAATGCTGGGTGATGGCTCAATAACTATGAATAAACTTGTCCCAGACGCTTTCCTAATGGTAGGCAATTTAACACAGGGGAGCGTGGAAGAGGCGATACTGATTTAGCGGGATGGATGAGAGAGCTTTTAGATGGTAAAATATCTACTGAGTTGCCTTTTATGACTAGGAACCAGACATGCTAGTAGGTCTAGCTTCAGGAGCGCAGCCTACCCACTGATTGGTGGATTTGTAAAACAAAGCCGCTGTCCTCTGCTACTACATATACAGTCTCCTGATATTGATCCTTACCCATTTCCTCTTGTACGTTTTAGTCATAACAACGGTCAAATCAACTTACTACATATATTTAAAGTCTCCCATTTTAGAAAGGGTGCAGTTTTCCTAGGTTTTCCCTACTCAGTTTAGCTTTGGAAAAGAAGCTGGATGGACAGTTATTCCAAGTAGGAAAGCCTGGTAAGGAATATAAGGTGCAGGACAACCACAGGGTGTCCGCTGTTGCTAGAGTAGAGTGAGAGATGAGGAGTTGGTGGTGTAGCTCAGTGATAGAACACATGCTAAGCACTTCGGAGTCATGTGTCCAATCCTATCACCAATGAAGAGAAGTAAATTAAGTTGGAGAGTCAATGAAGTGGCCTGCATCTGTCGTCCCAGCTACTCCAGGCCAGCCAAAGCAACATAGACCCAGTCACTTGAAAGGAAGGAAAAAAAAAAAAAAACAGGTGTGGAGGTAATGCCTGTAATCCCAGCAATGCAGGAGATTCCAACTGGAGAATCACAAGGTCAAGGCCACCCTGGGCTACAGTGTCATCCCCATCTCAAAACAAAACAAAAATCATGCATGCGCACACAAACACACACACACACACACACACACACACACGATGGTAGAGCACATGATTTTTGCGATGGCCCTGGGTTCAATCCTCAGCACCAAAAAAAAAGTAAGATGTAAGGCTAACAAGGGAGTTTACTTTTAAATTATTTTTTTTCTTGGCTTTGCTGGGAACAGAACCCAGGACATAGAACAGTCTATCACTAAGCTATGTTTAATGAAATTTCCAATTTCCTAAACTCTTTAAAGTTTCTAGCTTTGATAACAAGGTCATAATTTTAATAGCAATGAAGAAGCAAAGATATGAATTATCTGTATAACATCTAGATGGAGATGTCTAACAGAGGGCTGGAAATAGTATGTTGCACAAAAGAGAAGACAAGGTAGGTATTATGATTTGGAACTCATCAGCATCTTGGTAATACCTGAGATTACCTTTGAACCATGTAAATTTTTAAAAGAAATATAACTATTATAGAACTTGGGCTTTTTGGGAAACTGAGGTGATGTGAAGGCCCCCTTCACACTGATTCTTGCAATCAAGTCAGAAAGATTTCAGATATGTCCCTCAGAGTGACAAAAAAGTTTATTAGAAGAGAGACAGCGTCCTTTCAGAGAGGAGAGGGACAGCATGTCTCTCCTGCCCTCCAGTTTTATTGGGCTGTCCCAGGGAAGTCTCCAGAGAGTTCCACCTAGGTCCACCTCTTGACTTTTGACTGACAGCAGGATGATGTCAGACTTTCGAGTCCTCATTGCCGTGACAACTGTAGGTCACTTTGACCTATGTTACCAATTCTAATTGGAACCTCTTCTTGTAGATTTTATGATTGGGGGAATTATCCTAATAACCAGGATCTGGTTGGTGTAAGGGTCAAAAGAACCCCCGCTCTCCTTCAGGTAGCTTGTGTTCTTATTGGGATTTAGAGGACTGCATTTCTGCAGATAGCAGGGAGTTTACTGGGGAATATAACATATCCTGTGGATGTAAGTCAGGCAGAGATACAGGTAAATTATTTTTTTTTAAAGTGAAAGCACATGTGGGTTAATGCTGTGGGCCCAGTTTATAGAATTATTCCCTTAGCCTCATGTTACCACCATTCATATCTGTCTCCTATCATAACTACACAGAGAAAATAATTTTTTCAAGATTTTATCAAAGTGTTCTGACTATACAGAATTCATTTGGCATATATCCTACAGACAAAAACAGTGGGAATGGTGGCATACACCTTTAATTCCAGCTATTTGGAAGGCTGAGGCAGAAGAATTGAAAATTCAAAGCCACCCCAGGAATTTAGTGAAACTCTGTCTCAAAATAAACTAGGAAGCCCTGGGGATGTAACTTAGTGGTAGAGGTCTTTCCTAGAATGTACAAGGCCCTGGTTTCAATCCACAGCACTGTAACTGATAATGATTTTTAAAAAAAGACAACAAACACATTTTAGTTTCCATCAAGTAAATTTGTTGTTTGTAGTGATATGAATTTAGTAATTCTGAAATTATGTTATGCATGTTATAAAATTGAGAAACAAAAAATATATTGATTACTTCCCCAAGTAATGTGTTCTCATTGTGGGAAAAGATAATACAAACATGCAATTAAGGAAGGAAAGTAAAGAGTTTTGTGGTATTAACTTAGAACAAGTATCAATATGAAGTTATAATTTGAATATGTCTAGAGAGGAAAAACTTTTTTACCCTCTTAGGTTGAAGACCTATGGACTTCCAACTTAAACTTACAAAATATTGATTAATAAGACAAAAGGCATACAATTTTTATTAATATTTATGTGCGTGGAAGTTCACATAAAAGAAGTGAAACTCAAAGAGGCAATCAGACTAGGTGGGGAGCATATATACTCTTTAAAAAAAGAAAAAATGGTCCAGGGTTGTAGCTCTGTGTTAGAGTGCTTGCCTAGCATGTGCAAGGCCCTGGGTTCAATCCCCAGCACCACAGAAATTACAATAAGAAAGAATAAATAAAAAAGAAAGATAGTTTGAGCTTCAAGGGATAAGAAATTGTGGGCATAACTAAGAAATATATTGGGGAAAATAATAGATAATAATAGCTATTTTAGGAAAGTCTGTTTATACAAAGTCATTACAAGAGACTGAATGTTGGTGTTCCCCCACCCCACCACCAACATCACCCTGCCCCCAGTTCATATGTTGAATGTGATATTATTTGGAGGTGGCCTTTTTAAGAAGCAATTAGAGTTAGATGAAAGAGGTTCAGGAAAAGTCTAAATATTAGATTGTAAGAACAGAAAATAGAAGTTAGAGATAGAGTATAGCTCAGTGGTAAAACACTTGCCCATCAGATTATGGTGAATTCATGGATAAAAATAATGTGAGGTGACAAGCAACAATGACCATACTTGATAATGTTTTCCTGAGTGACCAGAAAAAAAAATATATAAAATGGACAATTCTTTGACCATTGTTTGGTACAGTCTTATTTCTAAACCATATGTGATCTTAGAAAGTTTTTAAGGACAAAAATTAAGAGTGCTCTTTTATATATTAAAAATTAGGCTTAGATTAGGTCATGAGGTGGGGACCTTCATGATGTGTTTAATGATCTTTTAAAAGAGAGAAAATAACAACTCTATCTCTCTCTGGAATGTGAGGATTCAGCAAGAAGACCATGCTGATCCTTTGGCACCTTAACCTTGGACTTCCCAACCTCCACAACCACGAGAAACAAAATGTTGATTCAGTCACCCAGTCCATGGTATTCTGTTATGGCAGCACAGACTCAGACATTCATTTTGATACTGATTCCCCCATCAGAGTTTCTTTTCACTCCCTATATGAGGGATGGGGGAGCGCTTTCCTCAAAGGAAAATTTATGCTGTACCTTCAGGCAGATAAGAGGTGAACAGAGAATTTTTGCATCTGTTGATTCTCAGTTGCCTTTAGCTAAAAGAAAAAAAAAATGGGGGTGGTGGTATGGAGAACAAACCCAGGGCCTCGTGCCTGCAACACAAGTTCTCTACCACCAACCTACATCTCTAGCCCCTAACTTGAAATAATCTTTATGCCAAAGTGCCATATTGGGTATGGAATGTTCCAATCCCCTTCAAATACATATGTGTATTTTATATATACATGTATGCACACGTGCGTGTGTGCGTGCGTTTTTTTGCTCTGTTCACTTATAGAGCCAAGAAGCAGTGACAACCTAATAACAATGACCATTCCTAATATCCAGATTAAAAGAAACTCTGGAAATATAGATGATGCAGTGGTAAGGCAGAGGAAAGGATTAATCTTGGAATGCTTTGTTATACCAGAAAGTAAGGAAGTGTTCAAAATATGAGTACAAACCCAAGTGCTAATGGATAAGCCTAGAGAGTGGAACCTTCTGAAACTATTTACAAAATAAGTAAATGAATTGGTACTATTTTTTTTAAAGAGACAGGGTCTTGCTATGTTGCCCAGGCTGGTCCCAAACACTGAGTGCAAGCACTCCTGTCTCAGCTTCCCAGGTGAGTAGCTGGGAGTACTTATAGAGCCAAGAAGCTTGAACCGGTCCATCTCTCTACATAGCTTTGAACAGGTTCTCAAAAGTAGTTGATAATCAAACAAAAATGTGTACAGGCTTGCCAGGACACATGTGCCACTATGCTTACTTTTATTACATCTTTCAGACCTGTATCAGCTAAATTTTAAATATAAAGTGTCCACTTATTAGGGCTGGGGTTGTGGCTCAATGGTACAGTGCTTCTCTAGCACAAGTGAGGCACTGGGTTTGATTCTCAGCACCACATGTAAATAAAGAAATTAAATAAAGGTCATCAACAACTAATAAAAATATTGTTTAAAAGTTTCCACTTATTGATGAAATACTGCTGTGTGTACTCAGCCTTATGCCTGGGTGGGTCACATAGCACCTAATTCTTTCTGGACCATCTCAGGTCACCTAGTCACTTGATGTTCGATGGTCAGACATTTGGTCTCTAACAAGACTTACGTGGCTTTGCTGCAAAACAGTAAATGATTCTTTTGTTGAGGCTTTCTGGAGACTATGTAACAAATTTATTAGCTACTGTCTCTGAGTGTCATCTAATTTGCTGGGATTTTGCACCACAGCTTACTTTTTCACTTCAGCCAGAATTTGTTACAGAGCTTCTTCTTTCTCTGCTCCCCAGTGAAAACTCCCCTCACAAGTTGCTTATTAAGTGAGCTAGAGTAGACATCAACATCAATTGATCATCACAATTCAAAAAGGCTTATCAAGCATTGTGTTTCTATTCTATTGTTTTGTTGTGTGGTCATGAGTAGTTATAGTGCAAGGGACAGCAACTTGTCTTTTACTCTGGAAGTAATAGGCCTCCAGTAACAAATTATATTGTGAAATCCATTTCCTGGAGAGACAAGCAATCAATTGTGAGAAATAATATACCAGTGTTATGAATGAGTTGGGCCACACAGAAGAAATGCTATATGATCTGGTGCAAATGCATCAGCTAATGGATAAATTATTTTAAAACTTAATTAGAAATTTTATCTCTATAATACACTCTTATGGTTAAAGTTTTTTCAAAAATTTACTAATTAAAAAGTTTTCCTCCTATCCCTGCCTTTGTACACCCTGTTAGGGCAAGGTCTTATATTAATTTCTTACATATTTTTTCAGTATGATTTTCCTAAGGCCTCATGAATACTAGGCAAGTGCTCTACCACTGAACTACATTTCTAGCCCAGTACATATTTATTTCTTTAAGACATTTTAAATTGTTAGTATTATTTTTAGCATATATTTATTTACAAATTAATGGGATTCACTGTAGTATTTCCATATGCACATGGATCATGCATTGATTATGTCCATTCACCCTTCTTCTATCTTTTTCCCAACACCCCTTTCCTCCTGATCTCTATCCCCACCCCATTCAATCATACTTTCCAGTCCATAGTAATCCCTCTTCTATATTCTCATTGTTGGTTTTTTCTTTTTCTTTTAGTTTCCACATCAGAGAAAATATGAGATACTTGTGCTTCGGTGTCTGGCTTGTTTTGATTAACACCATGTTCTCCAGTTTCATCTATTTTTCCACAAATGATAGGATTTCATTCTTCTTTGTGGCTGAATAATATTCCATTGTGTATAACCAAAAAAGGATGGCTAGGTGCTGTGAAGAAGGTGATAGTGCCTTACCTGTATGCATGTTGTCATCCATTCTTCCATCCTTGTCAAGGGAGTAAGGTTAATGCTCTCTCCTTTCATACAATACCTAGCTAGCATTTACTCATGCAAATAAAAATATGTAATCTTTTTATTTTCTTACAAAAAAAGGTAGCACACTCTTTCCAGTATGTACCTCACTATTTTAATTTAAGGATGTGTCTTGGAGAATGTTTCATATCAATACATTTTATTATTCTTTTAAATAGCTGAAAATATACCATTGTATGAATGTACCATGAGTATTTATCAAGTTCTCAATTGATAGACCCTTTGGTGTTCTCTTCTTTTGCAAATGTGAACAATGTTATAATGAGTCACTTTGTACATATCACTTCATCATGTGCAGACTTGTCTGTAAAATAAATTCATTAAAAATCAATTTAACACTTAGATTATGTTAGTGAGCAACCCTACGGTTGGGGAGGGAGTGGCTAAAGATGGGAGAGAGAAATGCTTTGTTTACTGAGCAGCAATATCCCCTATATATGATGGAGTCAACTCAACACTTTCACACTCATGACATTGTCCTAGAGTATTTTTTACAAGTAGAAGGTGGGTTTTAATATCATGCTCCTTAGAAATACTTTTGAAAAAACATCTATAAAGTAAATAGTAGTATAATTTAAAGATGAATTTATTACTTTAATATTAACAGTAGCAAGATTTGAAGAGGTATTTTATGAAATAAGTGATTTTATCTTCCCAGAAATGGTGATATTGAAGTCAAATGTATTTTTCTTGACCCAGATAGCATTTAAGTATAAAAGATCTTTGAAGGATCTTCATTTGTCAGATTCACTCTATTTTTTAAATCTTTGCACTTTGTCCGTGATGCAAAGGGTATATGAAATGAAAATATAAAATCCTTCTGTGTTAAATGGGTAATCCTTTTAACCTCACTTTGCTACTTCAAATATTTTCCTGGCCACTTTATAGTTTCTAAACTTTCTTTTCCCTATTTGTAAATGTAAGAAAAGAAAAAAAATGTTAGAAATAAAGAGAGAGAAGAGGTGGCTCAACAGTAACCCGAGTTTATTTGGGACAAAACTGAGCGAGATATAGAAGAGCCTAGGCAGCCAGAGCAAGATGACAAGTGAGAAAGGGGCAAGCCAGACCAAAGCGGCATGGAGAAGGTCTTCCAATAAGGTCAAGTTCCTGTTTGTCAAAAGTATTCATGGACACCCACAGGGTACCCACTCAGACAGACGCTTCCATACTTGGGTTCCTAAGTGGGGGATCCAATAGAAAAACCAAAATAGATGTATAGACACAGTGGGGTGCACCAATAGATAATAGTTGAGGCAGCCAGAGAGGTACTAGGAAACAACTGTTTTAGCTAAAGACAGGGTCTTATAGGAATTTTTTTTTTTCATTTTTTAAAAATTTAAGTGCCAAATATATCTTTTTAGGTATACATGACAGTAGATTATTTTTTGACATATCATACAGACATGGAGTATATCCTATTCTAATTAGGATCCCATTCTTTTGTTGTACAAAAATTTTAATGGGAGTTTGGTGGGTGGCCATGATGAGCTTTGAGGTATCCCACCCTGTGGTTGACAACTCAGACAGAAGCAATGATATTAGAAGGGAAGGAAAAGCTTCTGGTCCATATGACAGGACAAGGGAGGCAGAGGAGTGTGGGGAACTATGGTAGAAAGTAAAATGGAGGGCTTGAATTTGGTTAGGATGTCCCTGATAAGGATAGGAGTTTGTCCTCAGAGCATTCCAGTCAGGCAGTCAAAAACAAACAAATAAAATATTAACCTAGGGTTTTAATCTGGGGTGGTGGGATCATTCTCCAAGGTTCCCCATTCTATTTGAGTACAGATAATCTATCTTCTGCCTCAATCCCACCTCTGAAGAGGTCCTTGACTACTGTCAGGGGAAAAGGGGCAATGAATGCTCTGGCTTCATCAAGCTGATGGTAGGTGTCAGCTGTGGCAGTAAAGAAAGCCCCCCAGAGGGTCAGTCAAAGGAGAAACTAATTCAAACTAAAAGCCAGAAATAAAATGACAGGGATTAAAAAATCATTTCTTAATAATAACATTGAATGTAAAGACCTAAACTGTTCAACCAAAAGACATAGGCTGGAAGACTGGATTAAAAAATAAGACCCACCAATATGCTGTCTCCAAGATATTCACCTCATAGGCAAAGACATCCATAGACTAAAGTTAAAAAGGATGGCAAAAAACGTACATTCACTTGGAACTGGCGAACAAGCAGGGGTTTATATCTTCATATCTGATAAAGTGGACTTCAAATTTAATCAGAAGGGACAAAGAAGGCCATTGTATATTACTTAAGAGAACCATACATCAACAAGACATAACAATCTTAAATATCTGTGCTCTAAACAATGCAGCCTACATATAAAAAAACAAACCCTTCATAATCTCGAGAATCAAAGAGATCACAACACAATAATGCTGGGTGACTTCAACACACCTTTCTCACCAATAAATAGCTCTTAAAATAAAAAACTAAATAAAGAAGCTGTAAAACTAAAAAATATAACTAATAATTTATACTTAACAGATATATATATATATATGTATTTCATCCATCAATGAGTGAATACATTTTCTTTTCAGGAGCACATGGAATATTCTCGAAAATAGACCACATCTTAGTCCACAAAGCAACTCAGCACATACAAAAAATAGAGATAAAACCTGTATTTTATCAGATCATAATGGAATGAAATTAGAAATTAATGATAAAAAGTACATTGTGTCAATTCGCCTATAAGCAAATAAAACTGGAAGTTTATATAGAAAGGGTTACAAAAGACACTACCAGAGTCACAAGTTTATTCTAAGTCACTTTGAGAGCTACAAATTTTCCTAACCTCCTGTATAGTTAAATTCAACCTATTTTTTTTTACTGGTATGATTATTTAGTTCTAATATTTATCCTTCAGATTGATCTAAAAGATGTAATATGGCACATAAAAGCTCTGACTTTACCAAGAGAGTCCTAAGTGACACAACTAAAGGGATCCTTCAGCTAACCCAGAGATTACAGAAATAAGATGGCATCCCACAGCTCAAGGTGACATCTGTGCCATTATAAAAATTAAATGTGTGTTTTTAGCAATCCTGCTCATGTTTCTAAAGACTTAAATGGCCTCTGTTTACAAATAAATGACATGGCAGATCACACCCTAAGCTCTAATAAGTTAATGATCTTCATGGTCTTCAGAAGCTTGCTGAAACAGTAATTGTTTTTATGCGAATTATTTTAGGAAAATAATGCTTTGCTGTATTCTTATTTGCCTAGTATAAATTCTGCCCCATGTACACCTTGCCCAGTCACCTGTCAACTGCCATCATGGACCTCTGGATTACCCTGATGCACAAAATTCCAAAAGTTCATTAAGCTCCAGATGGTCATGAAAATATGACCTTCCATGGAGCTGCTTCCCAGCTTCTACTGAGACTTCCTAGATAGACCTTCTGGAGGGCATCCTTTACTGCCACAGCTGACAGCCACCATCAGCTTGAAGAAGCTGAACTGAACAGACGCTTCACAGAAGAAGAAATACAATCCATCAATAAATATATGGAAAAATGTTCAACATCTCTAGCAACTAGAGAAATGCAAATTAAAAGTACACTGAGATTCTATCTCATTCCAGTCAGAATGGGAGTTATAAAGAATATAAGTAGCAATAAATGTTGGTGAGGGTGTGGGGAGAAAGGTACTCTCATACATTGTTGATAGGACTGCAAATTGGTACCACTATGGAAAGCTGTATGGAGATTCCTTAGAAAACTTGGAATAGAGTCATCATTTGATATAGTTATCCTACTCCTTGGTCTATATGTAAAGGTCTTAAAAGTAGCATACTGTAGTGACACAGCCACATCAATGTTTATAGCAGCTCAACTCACAGTAGCCAAGACATGGAAACAGCCTAGGTGTCCTTCAATGGATGAAAGGATAAAGAAATCGTGGTATATATACACAATGTAATATTACTCAGCCATAAAAAATAAAGAAATTATAGCATGGTGGTGCACACCTGTAATTCTAGCAGCTCAGGTGGCTTAAAGCAAGTTCAAAGCCAGCCTTATCAAAAGTGAGGCACTAAGCAACTCTGTCTCTAAATAAGATACAAAATAGGGCTGGGGATGTGGCTCAGTGGTCCAGTGCCCCTGAGTTCAAACCCTAGTACCCCCACCATGGCTTGTGGATACTAACCCCCCAAACAAAGGAGATTAGGGAGGGGAATAATAGAAATCCATCAGACTAGACAAAAGGAAATGAAGGGAAGGGAATCAGGAGGGAAATAGGAAAGACAGTGGAATTAATTGAATGTATATTTCCTAGCCTTGTTATTTTTATACATGACCAAGGTAACTCCATATCATGTATGACCACAAGAGTGGGTACATGAATCAGTTATACTTTATGTATGTATATTCTGCCAAAATACATTCTACTGTCTTGTATAACAAAAACAGAAACAAGTATAAAGATAAAACAAAAACAAAAACAAAAATTCTTTCATCACCAACTCACTGGAGTTGCAGGGCCCTTAGAGGGTCCCATTGATCCCTGGGTCCTAGCTGACCTTAGAGGGGCAAAACTAAAATGTTGTCTGATTTTTCTCTGACATTTTACTTCCTTGATTTTTGTCTCCAAGTTTTTTGTTTTAACCATCCAACAGGCCAGTTTCACTGATCTTAAAGTGGGAGTAATGGGTTATACTTTAAAGTCTATAGTTTTTACAGCAACCCCTTTTGTTTAACTAGGGCCATATCAGAACTGGAAATTTGCAGTATATCCTATCTGTTCTGTAGGTGATGCTTCTCTTAGTTCAGATTTTTCTTTCAGAAGTAGTACTTCTGCAATACATTAACAGGCAACTGTTATAAAGTTTCACAAAATGAAATTAATGAGAAACAGTGTTAATGATCAGAAATAAACTTATCTGAGGGGCTGGGGATGTGGCTCAAGCGGTAGCGCGCTCGCCTGGCATGCGTGCGGCCCAGGTTCGATCCTCAGCACCACATACAAACAAAGATGTTTTGT